TATAATATATATATATATATAATATATATATATATATATATATATATATATATATATATATATATATATATACATATATAACATATGTATATATATATATATTATATATATATATATATATATATTATATAAATATATATATATATATATATATAATATATAATATATATTTATATATATGTATGTATGTATGTATGCATGCATTTATATATACATATATGTATATTGATGTATGTAAGTAAGTGCGTAAAGGGAAATGTTTAGAGTCGAGTTCATATCCAAGCATTTACCTATGAGAGAAGGCATGCATCTATCTATGCAGGAATGTATTAGGCGAATCCATGTGAATATAACAAAGCATGAGTCACAGGAACCCGAGGACCGACGGCGCAGCAACAGACCAGCGATGCAAAGAATGAATGCTTAGTGGAGCTCAAAGAATAGATGGCGCCGGTAACTCCAAATGATTGTTTGTTTGTTTGTTTGAGAGCGTAACGCAGGCGGAAAGGGGGGGAAGGAGGGAGGGAGAGAGAGAGGGGAGGATAGAGAGAGAGAGAGAGAGAGAGAGAGGGGGGGGGGGGGTAGAGAGAGAGAGGGGGGGAGGAGGGTTAATGAGAGAAAAGAGAGAGAAGGGGGTGAGGGGAGCGAAATAAAAAGAGAAGGAGAGAGAGAGACCGTAAAATATCTTTAGTATATTTGAACTCCTTGTATGTTCAATAGATATAAATTGATATTAATTGAGAAGCGGGCTCAAAATATATTGAGTATATTTGACTTAGCTGTTATTCAATGAGGCTTTAAATAGTTATCAATTGAGAAAGAGAAAGAACGAGTGTTAATCATTCTCAGCATATCTGAACCCACTATTATCTAATGAGAATTTAGATGGATATTAATCGATAAAACGATCGATGATACAGCTAAACGACAACAAAAAGGAACCAAACACACCCTCTACATCAAACCAAACAACATAAAAAAAAAATCTATCTGAAACATAAAATCAAGCAATATATATATATTTTTTTTTTCCCAAACAACATAAAAAACAATCTATCTGAAACATAAAATCAAGCAATATATATTTTTTATAAAAAACAATCTATCTGAAACATAAAATCAAGCAATTTATATAAAAAACAATCTATCTGAAACATAAAATCAAGCAATATATATATATATTTTTTCCCTCCGAGTCTTTAGTCACAGCGAGTCCATTTTCCGGGAAATTTTACGCAACTCCGCATCTAGCTGGAAGGACGTCTTATTCCTCCTGCTTCTTGTGCGTCGCGTGGCCTTCGCTCTCCGCTCGGCTTCCTGCGCTGGAAATCACTACACGGATCCTCGATTTATGAAAGATCTTTAGGGAAGCGACGGTTTGTTCTTTGGTGGAATAAAGATGCTAAAAAGAAGAAGAAGAAGATTTGTTCTTTGGTGGAATAAAGATGCTAAAAAGAAGAAGAAGAAGATTTGTTCTTTGGTGGAATAAAGATGCTAAAAAGAAGAAGAAGAAGATTTGTTCTTTGGTGGAATAAAGATGCTAAAAAGAAGAAGAAGAAGATTTTGTTCTTTGGTGGAATAAAGATGCTAAAAAGAAGAAGAAGAAGATTTGTTCTTTGGTGGAATAAAGATGCTAAAAAGAAGAAGAAGAAGATTTGTTTTTGGTGGAATAAAGATGCTAAAAAGAAGAAGAAGGAGATTTGTTCTTTGGTGGAATAAAGATGCTAAAAAGAAGAAGAAGAAGATTTGTTCTTTGGTGGAATAAAGATGCTAAAAAGAAAGAAAAGATTTGTTCTTTGGTGGAATAAAGATGCTAAAAAGAAGAGAAGATTTGTTCTTTGGTTAAAAGATGCTAAAAGAAGAAGAAGAAGATTTGTTCTTTGGTGGAATAAAGATGCTAAAAAGAAGAAGAAGATTTGTTCTTTGGTGGAATAAAGATGCTAAAAGAAGAAGAAATAGATTTGTTCTTTGGTGGAATAAAGATGCTAAAAAGAAGAAGAAGGAGATTTGTACTTTGGTGGAATAAAGATGCTAAAAAGAAGAAGAAGAAGATTTGTTCTTTGGTGGAATAAAGATGCTAAAAAGAAGAAGAAGAGATTTGTTCTTTGGTGGGAATAAGATGCTAAAAAGAAGAAGAAGGAGATTTGTTCTTTGGTGGAATAAAGATGCTAAAAAGAAGAAGAAATAGATTTGTTCTTTGGTGGAATAAAGATGCTAAAAAGAAGAAGATTTGTTCTTTGGTGGAATAAAGATGCTAAAAAGAAGAAGAAGAAGATTTGTTCTTTGGTGGAATAAAGATGCTAAAAAGAGAAGAAGAAGATTTGTTCTTTGGTGGAATAAAGATGCTAAAAAGAAGAAGAGATTTGTTCTTTGGTGGAAAAGATGCTAAAAAGAAGAAGAAGAAGATTTGTTCTTTGGTGGAATAAAGATGCTAAAAAGAAGAAGGAGATTTGTTCTTTGGTGGAATAAAGATGCTAAAAAGAAGAAGAAGAAGATTTGTTCTTTGGTGGAATAAAGATGCTAAAAAGAAGAAGAAGAGATTTTGTTCTTTGGTGGAATAAAGATGCTAAAAAGAAGAAGAAGAAGATTTGTTCTTTGGTGGAATAAGATGCTAAAAAAGAAGAAGAAGAAGATTTGTTCTTTGGTGGAATAAAGATGCTAAAAAGAAGAAGAAGAAGATTTGTTCTTTGGTGGAATAAAGATGCTAAAAAGAAGAAGAAGAAGATTTGTTCTTTGGTGGAATAAAGATGCTAAAAAGAAGAAGAAATAGATTTGTTCTTTGGTGGAATAAAGATGCTAAAAAGAAGAAGAAGAAGATTTGTTCTTTGGTGGAATAAAGATGCTAAAAAGAAGAAGAAGAAAGATTTGTTCTTTTGGTGGAATAAAGATGCTAAAAAGAAGAAGAAGAAGATTTGTTCTTTGGTGGAATAAAGATGCTAAAAAGAAGAAGAAGAAGATTTGTTCTTTGGTGGAATAAAAGATGCTAAAAAGAAGAAGAAGAAGATTTGTTCTTTGGTGGAATAAAGATGCTTAAAAGAAGAAGAAAGATTTGTTCTTTGGTGGAATAAAGATGCTAAAAAGAAGAAGAAGATTTGTTCTTTGGTGGAATAAAGATGCTAAAAAAAGAAGAAGAAGATTTGTTTCTTTGGTGGAATAAAGATGCTAAAAGAAGAAGAAATAGATTTGTTCTTTGGTGGAATAAAGATGCTAAAAAGAAGAAGAAGGAGATGCTAAAAAGAAGAAGATTTGTTCTTTGGTGGAATAAAGATCTAAAAAAGAAGAAGAAGAAGATTTGTTCTTTGGTGGAATAAAGATGCAAACGAAAGAAGAAGAGATTTGTTCTTTGGTGGAATAAAGATGCTAAAAAGAAGAAGAAGAAGATTTGTTCTTTGGTGGAATAAAGATGCTAAAAAGAAGAAGAAATAGATTTGTTCTTTGGTGGAATAAAGATGCTAAAAAGAAGAAGAAGATTTGTTCTTTGGTGGAATAAAGATGCTAAAAGAAGAAAGAAAAGATTTGTTCTTTGGTGAATAAGATGCTAAAAAGAAGAAGAAGAAGATTTGTTCTTTGGTGGAATAAAGATGCTAAAAAGAAGAAGAAAAGATTTGTTCTTTGGTGGAATAAAGATGCTAAAAAGAAGAAGAAGAAGATTTGTTCTTTGGTGGAATAAAGATGCTAAAAAGAAGAAGAAGATTTGTTCTTTGGTGAATAAAGATGCTAAAAAGAAGAAGAAATAGATTTGTTCTTTGGTGGAATAAAGATGCTAAAAAGAAGAAGAAGAAGATTTGTTCTTTGGTGGAATAAAGATGCTAAAAAGAAGAAGAAGAGAAATGCTAGATTTGTTCTTTGGTGGAATAAAGATGCTAAAAAGAAGAAGAAAAGATTTGTTCTTGCTAAAAGAAGAGAAAAGATTTGTTCTTTGGTGGAATAAAGATGCTAAAAAGAAAGAGATTTGTTCTTTGGTGGAATAAAGATGCTAAAAAGAAGAAGATTTGTTCTTTGGTGGAATAAAGATGCTAAAAAGAAGAAGAAGAGATTTGTTGGTGGGATAAAAGAAGAAGAAGAAGATTTGTTCTTTGGTGGAATAAGATGCTAAAAAAAGAAAAAGAGAAGAAAAAAGAAGAGAAGAGATTGGTTAAAGATGCTAAAAAGAAGAAGAAGATTTGTTCTTTGTGGAATAAAGATGCTAAAAAGAAGAAGAAGGATTTGTTCTTTGGTATAAAGATGAGAAGAAGAAGAAGATGGAATAAAGATGCTATTTGTTCTTTGGTGGAATAAAGATGCTAAAAAGAAGAAGAAGAAGATTTGTTCTTTGGTGGAATAAAGATGCTAAAAAGAAGAAGAAGAAGATTTGTTCTTTGGTGGTTCTAATGGTGGAATAAAAGGTTCTAAAGATGCTAAAAAGAAGAAGAAGAAGATTTGTTCTTTGGTGGAATAAAGATGCTAAAGAAAAAGAAAGAAGATTTGTTCTTTGGTGGAATAAGATGCTAAAAAGAAGAAGAAAAGATTGTTCTTTGGTGGAATAAAGATGCTAAAAAGAAGAAGAGATTTGTTCTTTGGTGGAGTAAAGATGCTAAAAAGAAGAAGAAGAAGAAATGTTCTCTTTGGTGGAATAAAGATGCTAAAAGAAGAAGAAGAAGAAGAATAAAGATGCTAAAAAAAGAAGAAGAAGAAGAAGATGCTAAAAAGAAGAAAGAAGATTTGTCTTGGTGGGAATAAAGATGAAAAAAAGAAGAAGAAATAGATTTGTTCTTTGGTGGAATAAAGGATGCTAAAAAGAAGAAGAAAGATTGTTCTTTGGTGTAAAGATGCTAAAAAGAAGAAAGAACGATTTGTTCTTGATGGAATAAAAAGATGCTAAAAGAGAAGAAGAAGAGATTTGTTCTTTTGGTGAATAGATGCTAAAAAGAAGAAGATTTGTTCTTTTGGTGAATATAAAGAGATAAAAAAAGAGAAGAAGAAGAAGAAGAAGAAGAAGAAAGCAGTATCTATACACAAGTATGAAGACAGGTAATGAAATGCATATATGCATATACGCAGACATGCATAGCTTGTAAATGCAAACATATACATATCGACGTGTATGCATTAATGCTTAAACAGGTAAATATTCGGATACAGAGAGAGAGAGAGAGAGAGAGAAGAGATAGATAAGGGAGAGAGATAGAGAGAGAGAGAGAGCGAATAGATAATAGAGAAGTG